TAAAAGTAATAAATATGCCAACTAAATGAAAAAATGCATATGACAAATGTGGTAAAATTAATCTTTTAAACTTAACATATATAATACCTATAATATATATCGGATATTTTAGATCAAAAAATTAATAGAGTAATTTTTTTTTATTAAAAGAAATTAAAATGAGGTATAGGGGTTGTAGCATAGCATGAGCAACATAACATGGCTGCAAAAGTCCAGGCTGCCGTTAACCTGCATTTGGGAACATTAAACAATCCTTAGTGATTTAAAGAGAGAATGGTTGAGTGATTAAATAAAATTAGGTAAAGATAGGGATTGAAAGATATTTCTGGGTTATACATGAATATATTTGGATTGTTATTGTGCTTTAACAAATTGTACTGATGTAACAATATTTTGTAATCTTCAATTTTCAGTAATCTGCATCTATTAATCATACTTTGTGTATGAAAAAATGATTTTTAAGAGTGTTACACAAATGTTTTATAATATATTATATATAAATATGTATATATATATATATATATAGATATAGATATATCTTTCGGTGGTGGAAGCACGTTATACTCAGTGCCTTCCTTGTGGGAGGGCGGGCTTTGGGGCACGTCGAGGGTCGACAAGAATTAGGGGAACGGTTTTTTTAGACATATAATAGTAAGTCACAAGAATTAGTATATAAAATAGTATTTTCCTAATATTTAATTCAAAAAGATTTAGTATTTATATTAAGAGCCTAAACATGTATTAATTGATTAAATTGGAGAGGGAAATATGTAAAAAGCTAATTGACCGTTCATTTTACAATATTGTTTAGTGTTTCTCTACGGTTTTTATCTAGTATCAAAGTATAAAACTATTTGTTTAGAAAACATTGATATATTTTTTCTATCATTTATCTTCCACCGACTCTTTTGATTATTGCATCTGCAAGAACTCTATTCTTGTATGGGTGTTGCTATATATACCCCTATTTATGTAGAAATCAAATCAAATAATACAATAAAATTATAAAAAGAAAGCCTTGATGTCAATGCATGTGATAAGGAAATCAGTAGGCAAGAGTGGATTTAACATACACTTTTGTATTAGAACATAGTATATTTCTTGTTATTAATAAAAAAAACATCTATTATTTGAAAAAATTATCAACCATATGAGACGGTCCAATTTATATCTATATTTAGGATTTTATAACTACCCTTGTTTTCTTCCCCCATACATTGTTAGGATTTTACAACTACACTTGTTTTTTCCCCCATACATTGTTGTTTTTTTATTACCTAACATTGAGTCCATAAATCTAAGTACTCTCTTATCCCTAAAATAAGAATAAAATCTCAAGTTATAACCAACATTGGCTTTTGATTCTAAAATTGATGATCCCAAAATTTTTTTTGTCTTAACTGGAAAAGTTTATAATGATAATAGAAAACCTTAACATGAGGTGACATGGAAACCTAAATAATGTCAATCTACATATTAAATATACATAATCGGGTGTTTTTGACCGTAGAACGGATGGACGACGTGATGGAAAATGATACGGCAGATAATATTAATTTAAAAATAATTATTGATTGATTTTACATGTAGCGAAAAAAGGTTTTATGTGAATTATTACTACTTTTTCAGTTCAATGTTATCTAATAATAAAAATGTTAGAAACGGACTTGATTGTAAGCATAAATTATTTGATTTATTTTCTTCAGTTGTGTTTTGTGTTTTTTTTGTCATATTTTCTTAAGTTATGCACAGCAAAAACAACTTCAAAATTTAATGACTTAAAAAATGGTGTATGTTTAAATATATACTAAAATATTATGAAGATACTATACTTTTTAATAAAATGTAAATACTTTTTAATAAAATATAATGAAGATATTTCTTAAATTAAAGAAATTATGAACAAAATGAATTATAAGAGTGGTCAAAGCATTACTAAATGTGGTGTAAAATATGTCAGAAAACCCTATTTTTAACAAGTATTCTGTCAATAAAACAGTCCCAGAAAGACACTATTTCCAACTACATTATTGATTTTTTTTCTTTTTTTTCGATTTTATTGACTTGAATAATTAAATTAGTAATTAATATTAAATTGGTAATTTAATTAAATATTTTTAAAATTTATTTTATTTTTAAGATCTTAATTAAATTATCGTCGGAAATCCAGAGGAAGTTTAGTTATTTAAATAATTATTTTTCAATGATTTATTTTGTTAAAAAAATAAAATTATCGGCTGATTAATCCGTCACGAATCCGCAGGGATTGACCAGTTTCAGAAGAAAAAAAAAATATCATGTTTTTAATTATTTAAAATTTGTGCCAGTATATATTAGAAAAACTCGTTAAAATCGTAAAACCAAATATCATACATTAATTAAAGCCCAATACAATTGTTTGTGATTAATAAATACAAACTGTTTCAACAATAATTAAATTGTTCGGTTCATTGGCATACAAATTGTTACAAAAAATCATAATCTGATTGTGGTTGTGACGCGAATCCAGGTTGTTGAGATTGATAAACTTCCTCACCATCTCCAGTATTTACTCTTGCCTTTCTAGGTCTCGTGTCGAATGAGCAAATCTTGAACCTGGGCCTTTAATTCATGAATTTTTATTTTAAATTTACTGATAAAAAGATTAGTTGCGTACTTCCGGTGGATCCTCCGTTCTGCCACTAATCCGTCGGAAATATTAAAAAAGTTATTTTTAAAAAAATAAAAAAAAAACGTTTTTCTAATTATTTTAAAGAATGGCGGATTTGTGGTGGTTCTTAGCTAAGTATATAATAAATTAAAATTCACTATTAATTTTAATTAATTAATTTTTTTAATAAATTAGATAATTTTGTGTCGGATTTCTTAAATGATAATTAATAAGCTACAAATTTGATCAAATAATTTTCTACTTTTTAAAATCAAAGTGGATTTGTGACAGAAGTCAACGAATATTGATTTGTAATTTGCCAGTGAAAGTCGTTTCTAGTAGTAAGGTGCAGCCGATTTGCAACTCCGGCACGCCTCCACCAACGGAGGCTAGATGGATACTGACCATCCTAGGGTGTCATGAGGGGGCAAGTTAGAGTCCCGAATCCTTAAAGTGACATACATTGTTTCTAATACTGTGAGAATATATGGAACCCTAAATTTACTTTTTAAAAGAGCCTTTTTTCCATATTATAATTTTTTTTTTGTCATTTTCATGTTGATCCCAAGATATTTCATTTGCCCTTCTTCGTCCACGATGTTATACTCAAAACCACATGTACCTTATCATCTAGTTATGAAATATCTTTTTTTCTTTTTGAGCATGTTTTATTAATATTTTATGTTTTAATTTCTAAGAGTAGTAGCAAGTTGTTTCTTATAACTGTATGTATGTGTGTATGTAAACCACACCAATATATGTAAACACATAGCAGAGAAAAAAGGTTATGGAATCGAAGAGAACAAGTATGGGGGGTTCACTCTTGGTGCCTAGTGTACAAGAACTCGTGAAGGAACCACTTATAAAGGTTCCAACCCGATACGTTCGCTCCCATGAGGACCTTCCGCCCACTTCATGTTTGTCGTCTTCACTATGTGAAGTACCCGTCATTGATATGCACCATTTATTATCTAAGGATTCAACTACTCATGAATTGGAAAAGCTACACCTTGCTTGTAAAGACTGGGGTTTCTTCCAGGTATTTTCACTAAAACTCCCGGATTCACCTATGGATTAAGCCGTTGGTAAATTTAGTGGCGGAATCGGCTGCTGGTACTCCACCACTGATCACCCACGAATCAATTTTATTGTTCTTTTTTTTATTTTGAAATTATTACTAGTGAAAATTTCACCCATTGATCCGTCAGTAATTGTCCAGTTCATACAATATTGGTTATTTTAAATATTTTTCTTGTAAATTATAAAGCTGTAGACTATTATTTAAATTTAAAAATAAAGGCAAATATTATACCTTATTAGTAAAAAGCATGAAATTTTTTGTGACAAATTCAAATCATTATACAAATTAAGTGTAATTGTTTGTTTGTTACACACCATGAGAAACAACCTAATTTATCAAATTGCGGTATCTTTCGTCGGAAACAGAAACTGAGACTGCTGCAACTTGGCAACCATCTCCTGCATTGCTTCCATCTCTCTTCTACTTTCCTCCACCCTTTGCTCTTCTATATGCCTCATCTCTTCAACCTAGGCCTCTAAAGCTTCAGCCTACAAGTATAAAATAACATAAATGGAAGTAATATCAACTAATATAGAGTGAAACACTATAACAAGGAAAGAGTACAAACCCAAACATCAATGGTCGAGCTACTATCAGAAGCACCACTGCTAGTACACGCCCCACCCTGACCCACTACATAATAGGGATCTACATTCTACCCGAAGCAGAACACGCGACCTTTCTTGTGACCTTTGTTGCTACCACCTGATGTATGTGATCATAGATCCAGTCAATGAAAGGATAACCACAAGCATACTCCCGCACTTCTGGCTAAGGTTAGCCTAGTACTGATCCTATAGTTACAAAAAATATTACAAGTGAATTTCAAAAGGTGGGCAGCATAATGGCTGCTAATTGGATGTGTTTGCCCAATAATTAACAACTCAAACTTGATATATGTGACAATCATGGATTAAAGATAAAAAATTCTAATGTTTGCCCAACAATAGAGAACCCAAAGTAGATATAAGACGAGACAAATTAAAGTTAAATAATACTAATAGTTGCCCAATCAATGACAACCTAACTAGATATATACAACGAGCTAAATTTTAAAAAGATGTAAAAAAAAACCCTTAACGCAATTTGACTACATCGGGAAGTGATATAGTCTCCTTGACTCCCACTCCTCGAAGAGGATGACTCTAAACTCATCCTCTTTTTGTGGGTACGTCCGAAGAGGTCAATGGCTGAAACGGGCGATTGTTGCTCATTTTGCTACAATTATCAAACAATTCAATTAGTAGTTATTTAACCCATACATAAGAACACAATAATGTATTTTTACACTTGGTTTTAACATCATACAAACCATCTCCTATGCTCTGTGAACCTGATGGACCTGACGGTGTGTTTGGCATAGTCATCATCGACTAAGGTGTAATGGTTTCACATGCTACAATAAATATAGATTTCCACTTGTATGTGCTCCAGTGATCTATCATGTATTCCCTTACGCGTTGATGGAGCCATTGGGGGTGGAATGGCTTCAAGACCGACATATCACTATTCACATCATTGACGTGATATGAGGCCCGTCTGCCTAGGTCTGGATAGCAAATGCTTTTCTGGCCACAGTTAACCCATCATTGTAGATCTTCTTCGACCTAGATTCCCAAATTTCATACATTGTAACAAGAACCTTTCACGTACACTCCACGGTTGTGTGTTATCTGACCATTACCGTATGTTAGTGTGTAGAACTTGTAACAATTAAAAAAATACCCTAGGTGTGTCCAAACGTGATGGAGCGGTCTTTGTGCCAAAACTTTTAGATGGTTGGTTTTGGGGTACAACCTAGACATAACCTTTAATTACAAATAACCATGTCAGTTGTAAAATTTTATTACATAAGTACATTTAATATATATATATATATATATATGCACTTACATGGTTCTCAAACCAACTCACAAATTCTTCATCTATATGCTTGTTGAGACCTGCTTCATCAATATACGACTCGTTAAGTGTAATCCAATCATTGAAGATGTATATGAAAGGAAAGACTTATCCACAATTCAACAAGATATACGTGTGAGCCTTGTGCATATCTTCATCTGATCGCACTCCATGTGATCCATTCTTATCAAATAATCTCCGACAAGGGACTTTAAATATACTTAATCGGTCGTTCGAAGATGAACATTCATGGTTATAATTCCTATCCTTACGATTTAGTAATGTCTCTACTACTCGATCAAACTACAAGGATCAACATATAGATAGTTCATTCACCAGATATGCTTCCACGATCGACCCTTCTACCCTTGCTATGTTTATCATTGTCCTTTTAACCGACCCTGGACATCTTTCATAGCGATACATCCATCGATATTGAACTAGACCCCCAACCATTACCTAACGCACTAGATATACCACAAGGGGTTCCATCGAATCAAAAAACCTCCATGGGAAGACTCTTTCAAGCTTATTGCATGAAAGAATGTGTGAAATTCAGTGATAGCATCCCATATCTGATTCGATACCATCCCTCTTATGAAAATATGGAGCAACCATTGTATGAACACGTGATAATCATGACTTTGAAGCCATAAAAAACTATTGTTTTCTAGGTTTACTAATGGCCCTATGTTGCAAGCATAACCATCCAAAAATTTTAGATTCTTCAACCAAGCATACATACTTCGTACTTGGACTTTGTAAAACATGTAGGTGACTTTCTATTAAAGAATTTTCTGATGCCCTTTGTGATATGAAACTCTAGTTGGTTCCAATATTTTTCCATGTCCCTCCTTGCTTTGATGTTATCTTTTGACTTAGGCAGTGTCCATAATCGTGTCATATAGATTACCAAACACATTTTTTTCAATGTGCATTACATCTAAGTTATGCCAAATCAACAAGGTTGCTAATAGGAAACTTCTAAGTTCTTTTTCTTTTTACCCAGATGTGTGTTACCCCAAAACCATGAGGCTTCTATAGTTATTTGATCTATATGGAATGCCATCATAAACCGTAGGGAGGCTGCAGACTTGTTCCCATATTTGATCACCTGTTAGTAACGGGGGTGGATTAGTTTTTTTTGGCATGCCTAACACAAAATCAGTTCCTATCACACATGAACGGGTGTGTGCATGGTAGAAACATGTGATGATAGTCAAACCAACAAGAATTCGCTCCACTTTAAAAATCAAATTAATTAACCTTATCCATGCAATATGGACAAGCTAACTTGTCATGCATGCTCCAAGCAAACAACATGACATAGGTAAGGAAGTCACTTACTGTCCACATCAATACGAGCCTCATTGTGAAATTGGTTCTACGATAAGCATCATTTAACACCACCCTCATAGAACAACATCTTCAACTCATCGATTAAAGGCCTTAAATATACATCTAAATTCTGTCCAAGGCTCTTACGTCAGGGAATTAACAAGGCTAGATAGACAGAACACTCTTTCATGCACATCCAAGATAGGAGATTGTAGTTTATAAGAAACAGGACCATAATAAATATGGATTTGAATTCAAGTTATGAAAGTAACCATCTGTACATAACCCAAGACGAACATTCTCGATCTCTTGAGCAAAATACAGATGGATCCTGTCAAAATGTTTCCAAGCCGCCTCATTACTTGGATGTATCATTTTTCCCGCTGAGTCTGATGATCATGGTGCAAAGAAAACTCCTTTGTCATTGTTTTTAGACATATACAACCGTTTTTATCTAGGTGTAATCATCAAATATGTCAAAACCAAATTAGACACCTTATTGTTTTGTCTAATTTCTTTAACGAGATTCCCCACAGACTTGACAACTGTTATAATTTGCATATTTCTTATAGAATAACATGCAATGGTTTTTGCAAGCATGGATCTTTTCTTTCGGAAGAGCCAATTGCTTCAACATCTTCTTTGTGTAATAAAAGCTATCGGCCAATTGTTCACCATCTGGGTAGCAATTCTTTAGCCATTGGAAGCAGGCAATTGTATGTTGTTTCTGCTACATTGCAATTTGCCTTCTGATTCAAAAACCTCGTGGTTGCTTCTAACTTTGAAAGCTCTGGCATCCCTCCGACAAAGGATGATCCACAAATTTTAACAAATTGTAGAAACATTGGGCATGTGGATTTGGATCTTGCTCAACCTATGTGTTTGATGTACCCGCCATATTTTGTTGATCAATGATCATCTAATAAGCACCATCAACTTCATCAAACTCTCTGCAATTAATTGTTTGATGTAGTTGTAGAACTTTGACATGTCTTTCACCATGTGAATACTATTTGGTATAAAGATGAAGATCCCATTTGTAATAAGTCCAAATGTACATCTTCTCTCACTTCAACTTTGGAAAGTTGACATTTTTTGCATGGACATCTTATACATAATACTATCCCTTCATTCGTTAGCCTCCGATCAACAACTTGTTTATTGGAACAAGCAAAATCCAAGAAATGATCAACTTCTTGAGTGAAAGTCAGGATTTATAATCATGACTATTTACTAGTCTATGCGTCCATCTTCCATTGGTATTAGTCGACATAGCTAAAAATTGATGAAAAATAGCTTAAATATAAATTGGTTAAAATATGCTTAAAATTATTTCTAAACTCCAAGAGTATTTTAGAAATTATAATTTTAATGTTCTCCCAATAATTGGCAACCCATTTATAAAGAGCAAGAATTTTTTAAGATATGATAATCCTAATGTTTACCCAACAATTGACAACCTATTTTTAAACACCAAGAGTTTTTGTAAAATTATAATTCTAATGTTTGCCCAACAATTGACAACTTATTTATAAACACCAAGTGTTTTTGTAAAATTATAATCCTAATGTTTGACAAACAATTGACAACTCGTTTCTAAACACTAAGATCTTTTTAGAAATTATGGTACTCATATTCGCCCAACAATTGACAACCAATTATTAAACATCAAGAGTTTTTATAAAATTATAATTTTAACAATAAAAGTTATCATAAATCTTTAAACAGCAAATAGTTTTTAAACACCATATCATCCTAATATTTGTCTAGCCAACAAATTTCTAACTTTAAAATTTGGCATATACACACACATTGCATATACTTACATACATACATATGCATTACCTATACTGGCATACATCCATTTCTGAAAACATTACAATTTATAAAACTTTACATATATAAATTAAAGTCATATTATCATAACGTCTACCAACAATATAACAAGCCATTTCCAATAATAAATACATAATAATATACCCAACAATTTACATAAATACATAACAATATACCCAACAATTTGCAAAAATGCATATTTCGAAACATTTTTACAAAATTTATATATATATATATATATATATATATATATATATAGGAGCGATCAAATAAAAACCGTCTTCATTTGTGTAAACCGTGTAAATCAATCTCACCCATCCATTTTCTTGATCAATGGTTAAGATTAATCAATGTTATTTAAGGAAATTAAAAAAAAAAATTGAAAATACATTTTATAATACTGATAAGGGCAAAAGGGTAAAACCAAATATTCATTTATTCAAGGAAACCATATCATGTATATCATATTATTAATGAAACTAATCTATTTTTTGTAAAGTAATTTATTATTTTTACGTTAACATTTATTATTATTAGTGAAACTAATTTATTTTTCATCTTGCATTTATTTCATGACGAACCGCCTACATTATGCACTCGTTTCATTTTTCATTTCATCTACTTAATGGATCACCTACACCATCACTGAAACGGGTTTCACCATGAAAGCAGTTCACCATTCATTGTTCAATTACGCTATGAACCAGTTTCACCTTCATGAAACTTGTTTCATGTAAATTTTTTTTTATTTCACTCATGATTTGATGCATTATTTCCTTTACTCCTTACAATCTTCAAGATTCTGGAGCAGATTACAATCTTCAAGATCCCGAATCAGATTCATCGTGTATCTGTTTCATCATGCAATTATTTTATGACGAACCAAATAAATTATGCACATGTTTCATATTCCATTTTTTCTACTAAACGGATCAACTACACCATCACTGAAACATGGTTCACCATGAATTGATTTCATATTACTCATTAATCAATTACAACATGACCCAGTTTCACCTTCATGAAACTTGTTTCCTGTAAATTAATTTTTTTATTTCACTCATGATTTGATGTATTCTTTCTTTTAATCCTTACAATCTTCAAGATTCTGGAGCATATTACAATCTTCAAGATCCCGAAGTAGATTCATCATGTACCTGTTTCATCATACAATTATTTCATGACGAACCAAATAAATTATGTACCCGTTTCGTGTTTCATTTTTTTCTACTAAACGGATCAACTACACCATCACTGAAACGTGGTTCACCATAAAACGATTTCATATTACTCATGAATCAATTACAACATTAACCAATTTCACCTTCATGAAACTTGTTTTATTAACATTATTTTTTTTTAATTTGAACCATAATTTACGATTTCATTACATAATGCAATTCAATCTTCAAGACATGTTTGCAGATTCAATCTCATAACAATATATCAAATTCAAAATTTTAATATTATAATATAATTAAATATTTAAATGTTATCATTTATACAATTTTCTTTATCACGTTTCGTTAATTAAGATTTATTAATAACTTCCATATTTAATAGAAAATATTGTAAATAACCGAAATACCCATATTGATTAAATTTAATTAGAAAAAAATGGAATTTTTCTATTTGTCGAAATTGATTTACACGGTTTCTTAGAAATGCACGGTTTTCATTTGAACGTGCCCCTATATATATATATATATATATATATATATATATATATATAACAGGGGTATAATCAAATGAGAACTGATTAGTTTGTGGTAACTATGAGGTCCAATATCAACCACAAATCAATGGATAAATTAGGAAATCAATAATTATGGTAGTTTGAGTTAAAATTATAATTAGAGGGTATATTAGGTATTTTTTAAAAACTCCTCTCTCCTCTCTCATCTCTCCGACCTCCAATCTCCGGCCTCCGGCGAAATCGGTATCACAGTATATGACAATGGGTATCACATTATGTATTACAATGAGTATCACATTGTGTATCTTTGTTTTTAAGGTTTGAGTTGGAATAATTGTTGGTATCACAATGGTATCACAGTATATCACAATGGGTATCTTTGTGGTTACTTGGTACCTGCCGGATTAATGTTCACCGTAGGCTGGAGATTGGAGGTCGGAGAGAGGAGTTTTTTTAAAATACCTAAAATGCCCTCTAATTATAATTTTAACTCAAATTAGCATGATTATTAATTTCCTAATTTATCCGTTGATTTGTGGTTGAGATTGGATCTCACAGTTACCACAAACTAATCAGTTCTCCCTTGAATGAGCCCCATATATAACATATATGTATTTACACATACACAACATATATACATATGCATATACTTACATCTATATATACTTTCACACAAAAGATGATAAAATGTGTAAAAACTTGTTACCAAAGTCGTCCTAGATGGAGGAGGTCGCCAAGGGAGGTCGTGCCGGGATATCGTTGAGGAGGGGGAAAATTGATGAAATCGACGGGGGACAGGGAGATGTGTTTTTGGGGGATTTGGGGAGAAAATGAGGTTTTGTTTAGTAGACTTAGTTTAATTATTGATTTCAGATTTAGTGATGAATCACCGACATATCCTTCCATCGGCAATTTTAAAACAAATAACTTTTCATTTAAAGTTATCAGTTCTTGCTTATTTTTTCAAGATTTTCAAATTACCGGTGAAATCAGTGATTCATCAGTTAAGGAATATTCTATCACTGATCTGTTACTAATTGTTTTAATTTTATTATGATTATTATTAATTATTTAATTCGCCAATATAATTTTTTTATTATTAAAGTCTATCAAGATCTTTAAAGCTCAACCATACTATTGAATCCCACAAAGACTCCTTAAAGTTCGATAAGACTCATTAAACCCAATAAAACCAATTGAAGCCCAATAAGACTCATTAAAAATTAAAACCCAATAATACCCTTTAAATCCTAATAAGACAATTAAAACCCTATAAATTCCATTAAAACCTACTAAGATCCAATAACGCCATTACATATGAATATATTCATATATACATGTAAAATCGAATATACAAGTAAAATGTATATATACACATAAGTATGTGAATTGTTACATATGAACATATACATATATACATGTGAACTGGATGTATATGTAGTACGTACATATACATATATGTATGTGAACCACTACATATATGTAACATGTTCATGAATCTCTACATATATGAACATATACATATATAATATGTATCTGATTCGATATATATGAAAAGATACATCTATGTATGTATGTGAACTGCTATATATGTGTAGTATGTATGTGAACCCGCTACATAATGTATATAGAGCATGTACGTGAACCGCTACATATATGTAGTATGTATTTGAGCCGCTACATATATGTAGTATCTATGTGAATCGCTACATATATTTAGTATGATATGTAGTATGTATGTGAACCGCTACATAGATGTAGTATGCATGTGAACTGCTGCATAGATGTAGTATGCATGTGAACTGTTGCATATATGTAGTATGTATGTGAACCGCTACATATATATATATATATATATATATATTATATGTGAATCGCTACATACATGTAGTATGTATGTGAAACCGATACATTTAAACTGCTATACTACATATGAACATACACATATATCTATCTATTTGAACCGATGCATATATGGATCTATGTGTAGCATTTATCTTAATTAATACATGTGAACCGCTACTTATATGTACGTATTTTTAATTTAATTTAAATAGAAATTAAATAATTTAATTTAGTTGATTATTTTCAAATAGAACAGAAATTAATTAAATCTAAATTAATTTTTAAAAAGATCCAAAAATTTCAAATTACTTATCAACCGATTAAATAAATTTCGTCGATAATTTAATCAAGATCTTTTTATTTGAATAAATCTTCGACAGATTACTGATGGAATTTATTAAATAAATTACATCGACAATTTAATCAACATTTTTAAAATTACTTAATCTATTGTATGATTATAATTCAACCATGATGAACTCATTATTATAACAATTTAAAATATATTGCATTTTGAGTGAAACTTGTAATATTTAAACTTTTTACAAAATTACCTCTCTTGACTTTTAAATCTAACTTTTCAACTTGAGTATTTGCTTTATGAGACATTATTTTAAGCCTTGAGAAACCACATTTGACAAACAACACATAAAACATTGGATTTGAATTTGAAATGTCAATGTGAGCTTAAAGTACTTGATTAAAGTTTAACTAGGATATGATAGTGTTTAAGACACATGATCGTTGATGCTACAGATGATAAATCACGGGATAAGTTGTTCACTGGTGGAGAAACTGAAGGAAGAAATACAAGAATTCTTCAAGTTGCCAATGGAGGAGAAAAGTAAGTTTTGGCAAAAAGCCGGAGATTTTGAGGGATTTGGACAGATTTTTGTGGTGTCGGAGGAGCAAAAGCTTGATTGGGCTGACCTGTTTACCTTGCTTACCCTCCCCCGTCATTTTAGGAAGCCACACTTGTTTCCTAACCTACCTCTTCCATTCAGAGATGCCCTAGAAGCATACTCAGCAGAAATGAAGAACATTTCCCTCACAACTCTCATCTTCATTGCAAATGCTTTGAAAATGGAGGTTGAGGATATGAAAATATTATATGATGAAGGAACACAATTTATGAGGATGAACTATTATCCACCATGTCCAGAGCCTGAACAAGTTATTGGGCTGAGCCCTCATTCAGATCCTCTTGGAATCACATTCCTCCTCCAAATCAATGAAGTGCAAGGTCTCGAAATAAAAAAAGATGGCAATTGGGTACCGGTTAAACCTCTCCCTAATTCATTCATCGTCAATATTGGGGACCACATGGAGGTGATAATTTCTTCCTCAAAATCATCACTACTTACATATGTTTTGTGTGCACCTGGGTTTCAGTTCTACTAATTTCATCATTTGATGAACAATTTAAAATAAACACAGTAATATCAAGAAATGTGGGATGTGGCCAACAAACATAAATACTCATCTTAAAAGAATGAAAGAAAACCAAACCTTAGAGCATAGATGATTATCTTAGGTTTTTCACAGTAAGAACATTTGTTTTGTATTCACTTTCAGATCTTGTCAAATGGAATATATAAAAGCATTGAGCATCGAGCAACTGTGAACTTGGAAAAGGAGAGGCTTTCTATAGCCACATTTCTCGGGCCTAAATTGGATGGGGATTTGGGACCAGCACCAAGCCTAATCACTTCCGATACACCACCAAGATTTACAAGAGTAAGTGGTATGGATTTCTACAAGAACTTCTTTTCGAAGGAACTTAAGAGCAAAAGAAACCTTGAGCAATACCATATATGATTGATAGTGTTTACTATCCCATTGTACTCATAATGATGCCTATATATTGTAACATAGCATGACCATGTGATTTGTCTATTTAGAATGTTGGTTATGATTTTAACTGAAGATGTGAATAAATGAAGGATAACTGATCTTTGGTTTGAGACTTTGAGGGGAATATAATGATCTACAAATTGATCGCTATTTTGGTCTTTTTCTTAATTAGTTATGTCATATGTAGTCTGTGTCGATATAGTTTTCTCTCCATTTCACATTCCGCAACTAGATAAAAAATTATAAATCTAAATAAAGTTACTTTGTCGGCTACAATTACAATAAATTAGGCTGTATATGACAAACTAGTTGATAAACTATTTGTTTCTACTAAAAAAAGCTGACAAATTAGTTGACGAATTAAATGTAAAATGAATAAAAAATTAAATTTTAAAAAACGGTTAAACGTATGACATAGCAACTTACTTTCATAAAATTTCTTATTATAGCATTCTACTTTTGTTTTTCTTTATTACAACAATGTACTTTCAAATTATTTTATATTAAGGCATTGTACTTGTAACGCCCCAACCCACACATTGCATGTAACACATATTTCATACCAAAGAAATACATATTTATATACCATTCGAGTCACATAGTACAAGAATCTACCATGACCAAATACAAGGTCCAAAATCCAAAATACATATCTTGCACTAATCAACAAAACTATTCATCAAAAACAACTCCTCATCCAAAATGCATATAAGAAAAAGCATTACATCTTTCCCTTTCTCTTACCTTCTGCACTTCCTGTAATACATATTTAAAATCACAAAAAAAAAAAAAACGAGGGTTAGACCGAGAGGTCTAATGAGATACCCTATTCATGTCATTGCAGGGTGAAGGATCACCAAAATCTTTATAAAAACAGTTATTCATATATATAACAAATATATGAATACACAAGAACGTATTACCAGATCATTTTCCACTTTTCAAGCTAATCACATGGCTATTCAAATTTCATATCTTTGAACCAAATGGGTTCCATACAATGCCATTTTCTTTAAACCTTTTCTCATCAAATAAGGTTTAAACAAAGATTCAGGCCAAACCTGACGTTTCCTCCTCAATAACATCCAAACTATGATTTCCAATAAGAACCTTAATCCTAAATCCTTAAATCACAAAGAAATAAAGATTCCAGACCTCAGTAGTCTTAAAGGATATAATAGAAAGAGTTATATAAAAAAAATCACGCACATTCAAATGCCACCCTTATAACAAATGTACACCTCTCTTTGATATGCCACCCTTATCCCATGGTACACCTCTCCTTGATATGCCACCCTTATATCAAATGGATACCTCTCCTTGATATGCCACCCTTATTACTTCATCAAAACATTTATAAAAATAATTCCGAATAGACCGCAACCATTGGAATTGTCATCAGTCCAAAATCATTTATATCAAAACTTAATTTATGATAAAATAACAATTTCTTTTAAAAACACAAGACATTAACACAAATCCGGTCAACAGTCCGGTCAACAATCCGTTCAACAATCGTCCGATTTAACACTTAGAATTTAAAATCAACTTTGTCCGGTTATCAAGTCCGAACAACATACCACATATGCTTTAGATGGTTTAACACTTAGAAATAAATTCATCTTTTGTCTGGATATCACGTCCGGACAACAATCCTCTCAAGACTTGTCCAATTTAAATAAATCGCCCACCACTTGATCGTATTCCTACTTCTCAGTATATAATCGACAAGTATTATTACCAATTATAATCCGCTTAACACTTAACCGGTTTATCAACATCCGGACAATAAACCGTTCAAGCCTTGCCTGGTTTAGACTAATCCGGTCAATAAGCCGCTCAAGGCTTATCCGGTTTAAACTAATCCGGTCAATAAGCCGCTCAAGGCTTATCCGGTTTAAACACTTATCCGATCACCCTTTTGTCCGGTTAAACACTTAAACAAAATATGCAGGATTTCTTTCTAAGGAATAATAACATGAAATATGCAATTGAAACCAGTAGTAATTCTTATGCAAAAAGGTTTAGAAACCACTCACCTTAACAAGCTTTTGAAACCAAATTCTGGAAATCAACCCTTTTGAAACTTGACACTTGCAATCCGTACAACACTTCTCCTTTAAAAGCACAATTCTCTCAAAACCAGCAAGAAGAAGCAAATGAAGAGGCTAAGCCTCTATTTATACTTGCCAAAAGTGGAAGGTCGATTAAACCGCCTTCTACTTTTTCACCTCATGCTTACCCAAACCCATGCACATATGCACTTATATGCATACATCCATATTCTATGCATACATATAATATGCAAGTACACATATAAAAATATAAATATCCAATTAAGGCACAAATGCACATACCAGCATGTATCAAATTATCATGCTATCACGTAATCATTAAATCAAATAATCATGTATTAAATACCTTGGGTAATAGCCAGGATCCGGTTATCACATTATCCACCCCTCAAGAATTCCGTCTCGGAATTCCTTTAATCAAAAAGCCATGGGTATTCTGATCTCATCTTTGACTCCAATTCCCATGTCGCTTCCGGTCCTTTGTGAAACTTCCACTGGACTTTAACCAGACTTATCTCTTTGTTTCCCAACACCCTTATCTTTCTATCAACAATAGCTTCCGTTGTTTCCACAAAATTCAACTTACTATCTAATTGAATCTCTGGCATCGGTATAGCTAAACTCGGATCAGCCAAACATTTATGCAGATTCGACACATGAAAAGTGTTGTGAATTAGACTCAACTCTTTTGGTAGCTCTAATTGATATGCTATTGGCCCAATTCGTTTACATATTCTGAACGGCCCTACATACCTCAGACTGAGCTTTCCTTTCTTTCCAAATCTGACAACACCCTTCCATGGCGAAACTTTTAACATCACAAAATCACCTATATCAAATTCAATCGGCTTTCGACGATTATCCGTATAACTTTTCTGGCGATCTTGTGCATTTTTAATTCTCTCACGGATCTGTTCGATCTTTTCAGAAGTTTCTTGTACAATTTCAGGACCCGACAGCCGTTTCTCACCCACTTCATTCCAACACAATGGCGTTCGCATTTACGTCCATACAACACTTCATACGGTGAAGCTTGGATGCTGGAATGGTAACTATTGTTATATGCAAATTCTATTAATGGCAAATGATCATCCCACGATCCCCCGAAATGAATAATATAGCTTCTTAACATATCTTCGAGAGTTTGAATAGTTCTTTCACTCTGCCCATCAGTCTGTGGATGATAAGTTGTACTTAATCGAATTTCAGATCCCATAGCTTTCTGTAATCCTCCCTAGAACTTTGAAGTGAATCGGCTGTCTCTATTAGAGATAATAGATAA